ACAAAAAAAACTAGATATTTTGAGCACTCAATTGAAAATGTACACAACGTATCAATCGTACTTACAGGTTTTGGTTTGGAGACGCTTGTTGGTCCAAATAAAGAAGATTAGAAGCCAACAAATATAAAAGGCAAGATTAGAGAAGCAGTCCTCGGTAAAATGACGAGCAGCCCATATGACCTGCTCTTTAAGCATACCCGGATGGCCTCAGAAACATTTTGAAAGGTCTTTAAAATCAAGAATTGAGAATGATTACCTGATGATACTTCCTGAGGAATATATAGCAGAGTCCCTACTGGTCAACAAAGTAATTCAGAGCCTAATGTGCAACTCACCTGTCATCACCAGGATCTGCCCGTCTTCTTAGCCCAGGTGATTCACTCATTCGAGCATAAACTCGCTGTTGCCCTGAAATGAGAGATATGCTATCTTCTAAGTTTGTGCCGTCACCTCCTCCTTCTCCCAAACCTGCACTGGAACCGTCTTTAATGTTGCTGACTTCTTGACCTACAGCTCCTTCTGACCTCTCCAAACCCTGACCTCTGTCCAGAGCATTGATGTTGACCCCTTCACTCAGACACAGCATCCCAGCAGCAGTGTAATCTGAATCCGCCCCAATGGATTGATCCTCAAGTAGCTCGATGGAACCACTTAACCCTCCCTGAGCAGAAAGTCCCACTGGTCCGTTTGCACCGGGAGTCCCGCTCCTCGAGTTGCCCAGGCTCCTGTTCAGTAGCGCCTCGGAGTCATCAGCATTGCTGCACTCCAGTGAAGAGTCCTCTACAGCCACAATGGAAGGACTATTGCCTGAGGGCCAAACCTGTACCTCAGACATCTCCATGAGTGTGTCCTCTTCGGTGGTAGCGATGGGTGCACACTCCATGCTCGACACTTCCTGCCAGTAGGGCTCACTGCCCAGTGGCGAAGGTAGACTGTACTGCATGGAGGCCGGTGAAACTAGTTCTTCCTGTACCACCAGCCCGTAACCTGGAGTGACACAGAGAGAGGCACACTGATACAGGCCCCCCACTGCGCCCCCCAATCTGCCCCCCACACAAGTGAACCCAGGAGGGATGTGCTCCAGACCAGGGGGTTAGGGAAGGGAGATTGGAGAGCAAGCCCACTGACTTGGCAAATGAGAAAGCAAATGGGGGTTTAAGTAAAGAATTTAGAGAGGTTGTTGCAAGACGGCTAAAGCTGCTGTAAGCCATTTCTTGTCCCACGTACCTGACAGATATCACTGAAATAAATGCCCTGAAATTGTCTCTGGGCACTTGAGTGCATCTTGCACATGGTAGCCAATCAGAGAACCATCTGCCTGTCAAAGATTTTGCGTGTTTGTGTTGGCCGACATTGGATTTGCTGCTAACAGTGATGATTAAAACTGCATTTCAGTTCTGACAGTAGTTCAGATGACTATTATATAAAAACAGTGTGGCTTTTAATATAAAGCAGTAATGCAGCATCACACAACGTAGCATTTCAAGTCTGGAGAAAGTAGGCAAGGTGGCTAACATTGTTTACAGCAGCTTTGGGTCAGCAGCAAGAGCACAGGCAATTGTGGTAGCACCAAGTATGCAATTGTATAAGACTGTCGCTGCCCCACTTGTTGTCACAAGAGATAAGGGGGGGTTAAAGAGAACCTTTTGACGGTCACCAACCAGGAAGTAAAAGACACCCCTTCAGAACTGTGGAGTTGGGGCAGAGCACCCTGTACACACATGCTTCAACTTCCATGCTCTCATTCTCTGAGTCATTACATTTTGGCTTCTATCATGTTAAAGAACATGCATGCAAGCAACCAGCAAAGATTAATAACCATTGTTCTCATGAAGAATGGTAAGGTCTTACACATACACAATTGTCAACAGTACTAAACAAATACAGCTGAAATGAATTCATTACATTCATGTAACCTTGATACAAGTCAACTAATAAAATACATCCACGTAAGTTATGAGATTTGTGCAGAAAAACTTAGTAAAGTGTGAAAACACGTCCTCTCAAACTCCAATCCAATAAGTACTTCCCAACGAAATTGGAAATTACATAGACTCAAGCCTTAAAGGGGAAGTGTGTATTTATTGTGACATTGCTTTATTTGTTTGAGCAATGTGTTCAGCAAAATTAGCTCAACCAATGACAGAGGGTTAGGGCAGGACAATCTGGTTGCCTGATCAAAGGCAGTTCCACCAATGGAAACTTTTTTATTTATTATTTATAGCTATTCCATTTGGTGACTCTAGTCTTGCAGTAATTATACACTTCTCCCTTAAATGACAACAAGTCAGCAAACAAACAATAGCTATACATATACTGATATGGATAGCAATATATAGATACTTATATAGATACCAATAAAAATTATTGTGGCTTAAAAGATTTTTAAAAAGTATATTCATTGTTGACAATGAGTGTGTTTTCATTTTTTCTCAAACAGCATTTTTATTATTTCATAAGCCAACAATATGTAAGGTCATGTAAGCACCTTAGTACTCTATTATTATTTGTTGTCTGTTTTTATAAGGAGCTCATTTGATAAGTGTTGTACATGTAAACACACTCATTGAGAGAAATGCCAATAAACTCAAGTTTCACTATACTATAAAGAGAATGATGTGTATTGTCAGAGAGGGAGAATTATGTGTATTGTCCAAAATAACATTCTTACTCTGACATAAACAATGGACCTTATTGACTAGTCTGTTTCCTCTCCCCAGTTTATGACCCCCGTACAGATAAGACTTCTCATACAGAGCACACTACACACGCCAAAGAGATATATGAACCACATGGCCCTGGAATGGGAGTTCAGAGGGTGGAGACACTCAATCATGTGACCTCATGCCTGTGTAGTTTCTTTACACTTTACAGTAAGGTTCCATTTGTTAACATCAGTTCACTACATTAGTTAGCTAATATGAATTAATAATTAAAACTACTTCTAAAGCATTTATTAATCTCAGTTAGTGGTAATTTCAACATTTCTTAATACATTATTAAAATCAAAAGTTGCATCTGTCAATATTATTGGTTACACTTTATTTCGATAGTCCACTTTAGACATTCTACTAACTATAAGTAACTTTGTAGCTACTTAAATAGACCTTAGCTACTGTAACACATGTATTGCTTATTGTTTGTTAATGTTAGTTAATGCATTGACTAATGTTAACTAATGGGACTTCATTTGTAGTTACCGAAAAATCATTTAAGGTTAAATGGATATTATTTGTAATCCAATACTGTTACATATCTGAAAGAACCTCTATTTAGTAATAATCAAAAATAAATAAACAGTAATGTATAGTGATCAATGAGTGATTAATTGGGGAAGCACATTTTGTATGTGCACCTAAAGTAGTATGAAGATATAAGATTGGAATGCAAAATTGTGAATAAAATATAATGCTGTGAGGAATAGAATAGAATGTTCTGCATGGTGTCAGTACAGAATAAAAAGATGTTCAGAACAAAAGAGATTTAATAAAATGGTAAAGTGGTCAAAATGGATTTATGTATGTATTTAATGCACTTAAAATATTTCAATATCATTATGACTAATTAGATCTCCTTAAGAATCTTAATGAGTTCATATGTATCCTTCTTTTTCTTCCCGATACACTTTTACTACCGTAATTATAACTATAGTCACTATGGTATTTTGGCAGAAACCGTGATTTCCATGTTTAATTTGTTTATGACATACCAGACACACACTATAATTTGTATAGAAATGACAAAGGGTGCATGAGCCCTAAAAATGTAGTATGTATACTATGTACAGGACAGCATCCATTTGAGTACATATACTTCAGTACTACATTAGCTCTTGTGCATTTAGTGTGTATTATAGGCCTTTTATGACAGACAGAGTGGGAAACAGACATAGACACACAAAATACACTCACAAAAACACAAACGAATAAGGCACAAGTCACAAGCTCATGAGAATAAAGTAGCCACAAAAGAAAAAAAAAACAATAGAAAAGTTTTCAGATAGAAAAAAACAAGCAAATCCTTAACATGTTATGTATAAACAGAAACATAACATCCACTCACACAAAGAAAATGCATAATTGTGAACAAATAGAGAAAATACTTATTTGTATAAGTGCTTAAAACTGATTGTGAGGAGTTGAACAGGATCCCTGAATTCACAGGTAATAGACAGACATGAGGAAAATAAAAACATTGAGTATAAATAAGTGATTGTACAGTGACCAAAAGGGTTAAAAAAGAAAGGTAACAGAAACATATTTCTAAGAGCTTAACAACTATCAAAGATCACAAATAGCACTAGCAAGGCCTTCATGCAGCTGTAACATGCCATGCAAGATCCATTGCTAGACATCATGCCAAAAAGTGATTTTTTTATTTGAGGGGCATCACACAAGGACGATAACAACATGTGCCATAAAGACAGTTAAGTGATAACAGAATATAATTACTCCCTGAATTGAACATTTTCAGGTTAGATGAAGTTAACTTTACCTAGACTTTATTTTGTTTCACTTATCTTTATGGTAATGCACACACACCATGTGAATTGTCATTGTGTCCTGTTTCAGAGCCCTTCAAGCTAAAGTTTGATCAAAATCTCCATGGAGAAGCATTCATGCTTTATGCCCTCCTGTGATACATGCAGACAGGGTCCAAAATTAACTCTCGCTAAGAGCCAAATGTGAGTACAACTGGATTTGGCGAGTAAATAAAACTCACTGACCAGCTGTTCGGTTTAAATCTAGATGGTTTAAATCTAATTTTAAGAATAATAATGTGAATCTTGCTTATATATGTGATAAATATTTTGCTTCTACAAGTGCTGTAGTCTATTTATCTAAGATGCCTAAAATTATGTTTTTTCTCTATGTGGCAACACGTATATGAAATATTGCTTGCATTAAGTCACCAAAGCAATATTTGAATAAAATAAATTTAATTTATAATAAAAAAAGAGAAAAATACAGTTTCAAAAATATATATGGCTACAAAATTTTTACCCGCCACTGGCAGATATGACATGAAGTTACTTTTGGACCCTGCATGCAGAGATTATGGAATGAGGTACATCCAGGAAAGTGCCACAAGAGCATGTCAACAGGCCTCATAGCAGAAAGACGAGAAAGGGTTGTTTGGGTAGAAGGAGACAGAGCGAAAGAGAGAGAGAGAGAGAGAGAAAGAAAAGGAGACAGGTGAGTCAGAAACACCTCCCTCCTGTTGGGGGCGCTAAGCATACAACTGGTGATGGAGGGGGTTGATCACAGAACAGAGCAATAACTTTCCTTTTTTTGGAGGGGGGAAGGTGGCTTGGAGGGGAAAAGAAAACACACGACTGGTCTGAGGACAGAGAGATAAATGAGGGTCAGAGGTCAACATGATGTCTGTATGAGGTCAAAGGTCAGAGAGGAGGTGCATAAGAGGAAGAGGAGGAGGAGGAGAAGGAGAGGAAGAAGGCTGGGCTGCATGTGACATATCAAGAAAAATACAAAGCATGGGGTAAAGGGAACAGGTTTAATGCTCTGCCTGAATAAACAGAGAACTCCCGCCATTTTGCCCACTATTTCAAGATGTCACACACACAAAACCATGCCTGTCCCTTTTAAGTTTACTAGGGTTTTGTAAACTATTCTTGTTATTCATAGTAGACCATTAAAATTATGCTAAATCTAGGTTAGCATTCAATTCAGTATCTCAGTATGGATGCAAGCTTTCAGTGTATTCCTCTGAAGCCCCATTTCATTGATGCTTGTGTCTAGGAGTCACTCCACTCCTCCTACAAGGGTGCGTTCCACTTTGCTTTAAGGGTGTGTTTACATTTGTAGTTCAGTTCTATTGGTTCTGGTCCGAACCAAAGTACGTTCATTTCTGATTCGCTTAGAGAAGTTACATTTTTAACACAGAACCTATAAGGATATGGTCACAATGTGTTTGGTCTCTTTTGTGTTCATATTTCTGTCAAACCGCACTAGAGTTTGTTTGGTGTG